CTTCTTCTTCCTCTTCTCCTTCTGCTCCTGCTTCTCCTTCTGCTTCTGTTTCTCCTTCTGCTTTTGCTTCTCCTTCTGCTTCTCCTTCTGCTCCTGCTTATTCTGCTTCTTCTCTTTCTTCTGCTTCTGCTACATGTATATATATATATATATATATATATATATATGTGTGTGTATATATATATGTGTGTGTGTGTGTGTGTAATATATATATATATATTATATATTATACTCACCAATGTATTGGACAAAGAGAAGCAGACCAAAATGCTATCAAGTTTGCAAAATTTAGGGCTGGAGGCGTGGTTCAGTCAGTAGAGGGCTAGCTAATGAGTGAAAGTGACAGGTACAGAGTTCAAGTCCCAGTCTTGGACCTAAAATAAAGAAAAGCGTTTAAAATTTAAAAATAATCAAAACAAGAAAAAATTCACTTTATTAAATTAATTCTACTTTATATTTTTAAGGTGAGCAACTTCAACCATACCTGTTCTTTTTTGTCTTGTGAAGCCTTCAGCTAGCAGTGAAATCAATTAATCAATTGATTCTTTTTAAAATTTTTTGTTTTATTGTAAGGGCGATGTTCAGAGGGACAAGTAAGGCAATGGGTATATTTCTTTTTGAAAAGTATTATCCTCCCTTGTTTCCTTCCACTTCTCCCTACCCCCTAACTCGCCTCCCCCCAAGTTCTAAAGTTCATTTCCAACATAGTGTCTAGTGAGTGTTGCTGTTGCATTGGTTTACCTTTTGCCTCATGATTAGCTTATATACAGGACCAAGGCCACTGAAATCAGAAACAGTGACCACTGGGAATAAACCAGAGGAGAAAAAAAAAGAAAGGCAAAGAAATAGCTTCTTCTTTTTTTTTGTCAGTCGTGGGGCTTGAACTCTGGGCCTGGGCGCTGTCCCTCAGCTCTTCAGCTTAAGGCAAGTGCTCTACCACTTGAGCCATAGAGCCACTTCCAGCTTTTTCTGCTTATGTGAAGCTGAGGAATTAAACCCAGGGCCTTATGCATGCAAGGCAAGTGCTCTACCACTGAGCCACCTTTCCAGCCCAAGAAATAGCTTCTTAACACAGTTAAAGGAACAAATGATTTCAAGTCAGCCCTGGATGTTCATCTCTGCTCTGTAACTTTTGATATTTTAGGGGGAAATTTCCGAGTTCTCTGATAATCTAGGCCTCCAAATATGTAAATGGGTATAAAATGACCGCTTCATAGGGTTATTGTGAAAAATTAATGGAAACTGTATACAAAAAATCAACCACCCATGTTGGCAGGTTCTTTCTTCTTCCTTCTCTTCTCTTGGTTGCCTCTTGTCACTACTCTGCCAAAAACTGCCAAATGAGGAAGTCAACAATTCATGCAATGTTTTCTTAGAAAAGACAAAGTTGGTACTTAGTTTGTGTATATCTTGTGTGGCCATGAGATTCCTTAGCTTGGGTAACAGAGACATATTTGAGGAGTGTACAAATAGAGCATCTCTGTGACCAGGAGAATGAGATCTCCTTCAGGCTAATGGGAGGTTCTTATTGA